CATTCAATCATGCGTCAACCAAGTTGAGTTCTATCAGAACATCGATACTGGCTTGAGCGCGGGTCATAGAGTCGATACCTGAGTATAATAGTTTTCATGCGCAGAGGTTATGAACTCCAGATCCCTGGCGCTTCGTTGAAGATAGTCCAACTGCCTTTAATCGGCATCTTGCGGTGTCATGAGCTAACTGCCGTTCTATCCCTCCGAATGAAGAGATGACACAATTTACGACTGTGCGTTGCTACTGTCTGTATCGTTCTCATGGAAACGTATTTTACGAACTATAATGGCATCCACTGCTTACCTCCATTTAGAACAGCTAGCGACTAAGTTACCACATTTTGGTGGTCTTTCTATCGATTGTTATTCCGTCATCGTTGTTGGTTACTTGTCCACTGCCAGGCGTGAAGCAGGATCTGAACGTCAACTTTTCGCAGCCTGGTCAATTACTTAACAGTCCTGACCCGTGGTAAACCGGCACGACCGACCAGGCATAACGTTCGAGAGTGCAAATATCATGATGGGCATGTTACGAAGTTTTACGAAAACCTCCCCATGGTTCCCGACACTATTCATTTCTCATCGACGCTTGGGACATTCAAAGGCTGCGTTTTCCCAACTTCAATGGAAACCACGGAACCATTGCTTGCTTAAAACATCAACAACAGGAAGTCTAACAAGAATGATCAATTATGAACAAAGACCATACACCGTGAAATAATCTACATGCAATGACCGGCTTTCAATGGAAATGGTTTTTTCAGCTTTTAAGTTTACGATTACATGTTTTGACAGGCTCAACCTTTTTGAGCAATTCCAACTGGAGCAATCAAAGTAGTCTGACTGACCGACAGAACCCTTATCCAATACTGCTTTTAAACACTAAATGTGATAAATCTGATGGCAGCCAGGTCATTTTGAATTCTCATGGTCATAGACATTCATGCGCTGTGGAGAACAATTTTCCTGGCAGAAGCCATCAGAATGCTGATTTGTTTGCTAGGAATGGACATATAAACTTCAAGTTAAACCACTACTAACCTTCGACGATGACATCGCCTCTAATTTCAGGGGTATTGTTGGGTTCCGCAGCAGCTTCGTTCAGCTCGGTTATTCCTTCTTCTGGTGTGACATGCGCTGATTCAGCTATCGTCGCTTCTTTCGGAACTTCTGAGAGAGGTTCTGGCTTTAGAGGGTAACACCCGCTATCGAAACTCTTCAAGTTTTCAGTTTCTTTTGAATCAGCGGCCCTCATGATGGTCAGTGGAGACTCTGAAAAAATTTCAGTCATAAAAAATGACGACGAAAAATTATATCTCCACCTTCGTTCACCACCGACGGCGCAGATACTCTGTTCGTCAGCTTTGGAAATACCACCGGGGACGCAGCAGAGAAACGCGGGACGAATTCAGCGGCGTTAACGTTCAGGTGAAATTTCTCTGAAGTGTCATTTTCACCCATAATGGCTGAAGCTAGCCGACTGGTTCTACATACGGTCAATTTTAGTACGGTATATTGCACTGTTTATCGTTTGAGCAGAGTCACCAAAGGATTCCGATGTTCGGCAGAGAAAGTGAAGCGAAATTCGAAAACATGTACATTAAGAAAACAGTAGTAATTATAGTGAATGCAACATAAGCAATATTATGCAACGGGCAACGCGTCAGAGACAATTAACAGAGGTGGATATAGTCGTTTGAAATGATTATACGAGTGTGGAAAATTTACTTTCTAAACATATCATAAAGTAAACCGAATCAGAACTGAATATCATAATTCTGCAATCAAGCAAACAATAGTCATATAAATATCACATTTAATATTTACGTAATTTTTTCACATCATTGATAATATTTTCATAAACAAGCTATGCAGTTGCTTCATTTGAAATGGGATTTTTCTCGTACGGAAATCCCTTGCAAAGTCAAGACTTTCGTCCAAGTCGTGAATATTACAGTGAAGAACAGCTGAGTAGGTGAAGTAACGTGAAGGTTATTTCTATTAGATATCGAGACCAGGTTGCTCAATCGGTAAAGCGTCGATTTCACCACTAAGTTTGGATCCGTCCCTGGTCGGGTCACCCTTTTCTTTCTTTCTGAGACTGATAAATCAGTATCACTCTATGGGAAGGAAACAAACAATGATCGCCAAATTGCTGCTCTCGATCCTGCCTTTAAAATAAGGCACTCCTGGCAGATGGCATGGAAATGAAAATCAGTATAATAGTATAATATTATCAACTTTATGAAAAGCAATGCGAAGGGTCAGAAATGGCTCCATTATGAAAATCTAAGGATGACCGACATCGCAACAGTTAAAGCCTTTCCTTTTTATGATAGCGAAGCAAAAGCATATCAAAAACAACACAGCATTTAACCATCAAGGAAGTTCCGTTGAAGAGATACGAAGGCAGATGCACCGCTTTACCACCAATACTAGGCTTGTTTCTTCCTGTTCCATTGTGGTAACATCCGCAGGGCACTTCTGTCAGGAAGTAAAGTGGCGACAGATTGCTCAAATGCAATGTGCAATGCAAAAAAGTATACATGCACGGCCTATAAGAATCACTCGTAAAACGGGGACAGCTGTTAGCAGACAAATTCCGTAAACCATTCCGTCCATGAAATGC